CAGGGAATAATCTTGGAGTTCCAGAGTCCCATAAGCATAGCGTTTACTGATTCTGTTATACTAAATCCTGCCCAAATTGCCCTACCACTCTCGGGCCTGCAGACCAGCTAATTTTGCAGTGAGCACAAAATGAGAAAATTTGTTATGAAATTGCTGTTTAAGCATGAAGTCTAATCTTAAGACCCTGAGATGTTTTTCTAATTGGGGAAGTCATTTTAGATATTGAAATTATCAACAATTATTAATCCATTATTTTATTTTCTCACCTGTCAGTTACTCTCACCTCATCCTTCTCTTTCAAACCACTTCTCTTTGCACCAAATTTCAAGTTATTCCTGTCCCACCAATAACTGGTTCCAACCTAACTAAGTATGTTTCCTCTGCACCCACCCCTTTTCTATGTAATAGGCAATGGATCGGGGCCATGTACTGCACTGGGAAATTCTGATACAGATCTCATTTAACTTATTTTTCTAATGACCACTTTTTCATATTGTCTGAGTCTCCTTCCTTGGAAAAAAATTTAACTCCCCTTCCAAGGATTGTAGGGTCACACACCAAAAGAAGTGAGAAGTACATCCTCTTCTACAAAGGAGATTCCATGCACTTACTGAGATGGAAATTCTGATTGTCTTTGTGAAGTGAACCAGACTTTCAGAGAAGGAAGGAACAGGAAAGAGGGATAGAGGAAAGAAGAGAAAAAAGAGGGAAAGGGAGCAAGAGAAAGAGATTTTCAAATAAATCCAATATTTCTTCCCAAAATACCCATAAGATTGAATTAGACAGATCCTAGAAAAAGAAGGAAAAAATTTATGAATGTTGTTTGTGCACTGTCCCTGCTTTATGCATTATTTCTTCATATATGATTCTATGAAATCTATGATTCCTTGACTTATTATTGCTCTTATCCTTTTTCACTTTATTGTATCTGCCTTTAGTAAAATATTTTTCTATAAAGGAAAGAAATAAAGTTTCTGTCACAGGACATATTCACTGAGCTCTGCTCGTAGGTGTATTATATAGACCATATTTTCTCAAGTTCACTTTCTGGGCCACTGTAGGGAACAGGGAAAGGGGACGTTACTAGAACCTCTGCAGTGAGTCCTAGTCTCCTGCGAGCCACAGCAGCACAGGTGAATTAACTTATTATACAGGAAAGGTAGAAAAATGAGACTTTGAGAAGAAGCTGAGCTTTGGGCCTGATCAGTGCTGCTCTGGGCAGCAAAGATGAAAACTCCCAGCTTACCACACCTTCTATTCAGTACATCGGGAGAAACAAATTTGACAAATGACTCGCAGAGAGTTCAGTACATTGGGATAAACAAAGTGTAACAAATGACTGGGGGGCGGGTAGAAATCCAAGAACAATGAGGAACTGAGCAGATGTAGATTTTGTTCCTCCCAGGATGTCTTCAGCTGCTGTAATGGAGCATCACAGCATCACCGGATCATTGAGATCTCAGTTGTGACCGGAGAGCAAAATGGAATTATGTCTCAAAATGCCATAGCTGGCCTGTAGGCAGGAGAACTAGGCCTAATCAAATTATTTTTCCCTAAAATTATGTAGCATTGCTCCCAACAGGTCACTATAAGGTAATTTTGGTTTTCCTTTTCGTTGTTGCTGTTTTCTATTATTTTCATTCTTGACTACTTTTTAAAAGGGAAAGTTAAAAATGAAAAATGTCAAGCATAACAGTGTGCCTTACTACAAGGCTCGGTATCTATTTAGGCAGCCAGGTCTTAGATAACTCAAAGCCTTCTGCTGCTCATGCAAGGGCCCTTCACATGGCTGACAGTCATTTGACAGTGTTCAGCACTTTCCAGGGGAGAGGATTCTTACGGAACAGGGGAGAAATTGCTCCATAATTAGCAGACTCATTGTGGTGTGAACTTTATGAAAACTGAATGAAAATTCTGGAACCATAGCTACTTGGGATCTCATTTACATTTGTTCTGAAGCTCCACTATGCCACTATAAATAGCAGGTCCTATACATAGAGATGAGTTGTTCCACCGACAGCAATTTTACTTTTTAGGAAATTCTCGAGACATTATTCATAAGGACTCATTCCTGCACACTCTTCCTGCTGAGCATCTCCTCCTCTCGACACCTCAGGTGGCCAGCTTTGAAACCCACTAATGATCCTTTCCATATAATGAGTGCAAGAAGAATTCTTTATTTTTTTAGTTAATGCATGCAAGAATCCTTTTAGTTCTAGATGATTTTCTGGCATCTGGCTGTGTTATATAAATAGTAGGCACCTCTTTAAGCCAGCACCTTTTATTTTTTTAATTAGTTAAATTTTTCTAAAGGTAATTTTTAATACCCCTAGAAACTTCATGACAGTCACTTGATATGCTAACTATATTGCAAACTTGCAATCAAATATCCTGTAGCAATTACAGTGCCAAAACATACTGATGTTTGCATATTTTTGAATAAGTGGTATTTAATATATTTTTCCCTTCACCTTGCATCATATAAAATGCATGCAGTAGAGTATAGTGCACTAATGAAATTAAACCCCTCTCATCTCTATACCTAGATATATATCATGTTTTCAGATATATGTTAATTAAATGTCAAAATACATCTCCCCAAAGGAAGAACACCATGATGCCCAGCATGCTGCTGTGTACAGTGTGGTAAATAACATCCACCAAGCTTCCACTGTGCAGAGAAGATGTGTCTCTGAGGGCTGCCGGAGCTCAGGAAGACTCAAGAGTGTCACCCGATGACTTTTTAACCACACGGACTCCTGGGCTGCACACCAGCTCTTACGGTCAGGCTTGGACAGCCAGGGACTTAGAGGAAGTCCATGGCTAAAAGCCACACAGGGGACATTTGGGGACACTCAGCACCAGAGCACAGATAGGCACCATAGAAACCACTCCCTGTGAGTTCGTGTGTCCTGGAGCCAAGGCCCCAAGACCTTGCTGCTGTGCACACTTCCTTGTTATGTGTGCTGTGCTTCCCAGGGACTCTCACATGCATTATGTCGTCTTCCCAGTTAGTACAGAACCAAATCTTACTTACTCTCTGGCACATGGCTCCGTGCATAACATACACGCACAAAAAATACTGCCTGACAGCAAGTGGCAAAAAAATATGGTATTTTGGTGCACAGGCAAAAGCTTTGCCAATGTCTGGATTCTCTCCCATGACTTTGTTACAAGGAAATTTGTAAAAGAGTTTTCTATATCGTTTGCAGTTCTCGTAAAGGATAAAAAAGTTTAAATTCTCTCGAATGAAGCATGTCCCACTTGAATGCATTCTCCCTTGGCTGATTATGTTAAACAGGCCAACGTGCTCACAGCAATGCTGTGACAGGGCAAAGAGGGCAGAGAAGCACGGCCTGCTTCAATCAGTGTTTCCCAGGGTCCGCTGTTCAGGTGAAGACAGTCACCTGGAAACCCTTCCTGTCAGGGCTACCTTCCACTCCAGGATGCAGAGAGGCATCAAAGTGGCTCCAGTGACAGAGGAAACCTTGGCGCAGCAGCCGTGAATGAGCAGGGTTTAGCAGTGGGGGTCTTTGTAAAGACAGGGAGAGAAGAAACTTCTAGGTCCAGGTGTGACGCCATCAGTAGAAAAAGAGCTTTGAAAAAACTAGTGAGCTGTCAGCACTCCAGGAAGTCATTTGGAGCCTCATAATGAAGCATGAGCTTTCAGGTACAGAGATGCTACCACCTGGAAACACCTCTCTTTCGTGGGTGTCTCAAGGTGGGCTATGTGCCCGGTGGATGGGTGGATGAGCCTGAGAAGGTGTCTGCCCGGTCCTGGATGTTTCTTGTGGAATCTCTGTCTCTCTCTCCCCTCCAGCTGCCTGCCCATGTACAGATGCACACAGTCATCTCCACCTGAGTTTACTCAACCAGCTTCCCACAGTAACCATGAAAGCAAAAAAGAGGAAATGAGGCTTGAATGGTCAATAAGATATAATCAACATAGTACTGTTCTTGATTTTTAACATGGAAACATCTTTCATTATTTTAAATCTCTTTAGGTCTCTGTGATTAAAGGATTGAATGTTTAGAGCAGTCTGACACTCACAGAAGAGGTGTTTCCTTTATCTTCAAAAGACTAATTTGCAGCAGAGCATGGTGGTGCATGCCTGTAATCCCAGCACTAGGGAGGCTGAGGCAGAATGATCACAAGTACAAGGCCAGCCTAGGCTCCATAGTGAATTCAAGACCACCCTGGACTACATGGCAAGACCCTGTCTCAAAAAGAAAAGACTGATTTGATCTTTCAGCAGGCAACTTTCAAGAGTGTTACAGTTCTAAGCAATATCCCAAAACACAGGCCACTATCATCATGGCATTCAGGTTCATCTTTTTTTCCCAACTTTGAAAGCCTACATTTTATGTTAACTATATGTAAAATTCTGTGTTTGAAGATTATAAAATGATCAGCCAGTGCAGAGCATCAGTCTTACATCCCCCTGAGACAGCTTTTGTTGCTCTCGCACACCTACACTCTCATAGTACTTCACCCCTTTAACATGAAGCGTTGACAGAAAAATACAGACATTTTTAGAAAAGGAAAACCTGTCTCACTTCGAAGTTGGGAATACATTAGTAAGGAAGAAAAGGTCTATTCCTGCAACAGACTTCTTTCAGATTAAAGGGGCTGAAAGATTTGGGAAGTGAGAGGCCATGTGGAGGAGAAGAGCTAGGCATGTGTCCCTTGGACAGGCGAGGCCGCAGTGGGCCCTTCCTAATCTGGCTTGGTCTTGGCACCTGTCCTTAAGAGCTAACAACTACACTGAGCAGATGGGATATAAACAGGAAAAAAATAATTTAAAAGTCTATATGGCAAGGTATGTGAGCTAAGGTAATGAGAGAGAGGGAAGGAAGGAAAGAACAATACTGAATGGAATTCATTTAATGGCAGGTGGCAAAATCTTGACTCAAACTGACTTAAACCAAAATCAAAAGGGACTGGAATGCATTTGGTCCCAACTGTGGGAGAATCGCTCCACCTGGGGCTCAGGTAGTACCTCATTAATCTGTTTCCCAGTTGCTTGTAGCTCCTTGCTGGACCTTAGTTGTTTTTTCTCCCAGGCTCTCCCTCTCCATGGGCAGACGCCACCCACAGCTTCCAGTTCACGGAGCCCTGCAAAGACATCATTGCCCTTGAGCAAGTCCTCCCGGGCCAGTCTGCCTGGTGCCCCCGTGCTGTCCTCCTCTCCTCACTGTGGTTGGCAGCAAGAGTGGGGTCTGCCCCGGCACACAGTGTGGGCTGTGATGGTACAGGGGAAACTGAGGTGACTCTCACTTTGAAAGAGGGAACAAAATGGGTGCAGGGAAGTAGAAATAAGGACTCAAAATTCTTCCCTCCCTCCCAAGAGTGCTTCCCCAAAGGTGAGAGGAGTGTTCTGGGCTCTGCATTCAAGGTGCGGGCAGCCTGGGACCGCCAAACATATTTTGTGTTGCAGAGCTGTGCAGTCATTAGTTCCCACTGTGCCTTTTTTGGAACTATCATGAGTGCAGCTCTCAGAGGGTTTTGCCTTCAGTGCGGGGGGGCGGGGGGGGCTTATCACCAGCTCAGAAGTCTCTGAGCCTGCGAGAGATGGCTTTTCCTAGTGTACTATGAAGCATTCACTGAAGCAGCACCACACATACTTAATGAAGCCCTGAAAAGACACTTAGTGTGAAATAAAAGATGACATAAATCAAAAATAAAAATAGACAGCTTAAAATAGCACTCATGGCTTCAGACAATCTATAAAGCCATTAATCTGCTTTCAATGTAAAGTACACAGATAAAAATGCTCCAAAGTGAAAACATGCCAGAAAAAGTGCACTGATTAGACAACTTCCCATTGTAGTCTTATCTGCACATGGGTGGGTCTGTGTGTGTGTATAAAATGTCAATTGTTTTCTTTTAAATTTTTCTTTTTTTTCAGTGATGGTGACAGCTGGTTCTGTGAGTGTCCGAGGCGGTATTCAGGCAAGCTATGCCAGTGTCCAAGGTGTGAAAACAATCCTTGTGGAAACAGGGCCACCCATGTCCCCAAATCCGGAGCAGACATCATCTGCCTCTGCCTCTGCCCCTATGGGAAGGCTGGAACCTGGTGCACGGAAGGTAAGGAGAGGGAGGCCGGAAGTCACCCAGAGCATGAAGGACAGCCTGACAGGCACATGCATCAAACCTTCTGCTCAGTGCTTTCCAAGTTCTTGATACAAGATCCATTAGTGAGACTGATGGCTGAGCGGGTACTCCTCATACCTCGCAGGTAATTACAAGAGAGGTAATGAGTTCTCCCTAAGGCCAGCCTACAGAACATTCCCACACTATAAAACCTCAAAGTCACCCGAATGATAAGAGATAACAAGGAAAATCCAGAGCAATACTAAAATCAAATTATCTTGTTTTATTTGGGCAACCTGAGTGTACAATATAAGCAATCTATTATGATAGCTTGATTTTTGTACACTTAAAGACAACAAAACTTATGACACAGTAGTTACATGGTGACAAACTAGGTCACAATACCCATGTGCCTCTCCTAAGGAAAATCCAGTATAGGGAAGACTTAAATTACAAAAGATAAGAAAATACCATGATATAACTGTATTTTAGGAAGTAAATTGTCTAACAACTTAATGTTAGCTTCAATATCCAGAAATCAATATGTCTGGACATATTTTAGAAATGACAAAAAGTAATCAACACAGGAGTAGACTTGTTTTATCTTCATTTTTACCATAAAGATAGAAAGCAAAGTTTACTTTTTTCATACTACTGGTATTTGGTACTAAATTTTAGAAATTTTTTTTTAAAAGGCTACCAAAATGAGCCCAAGACTCCATATCCAATCATTCATAAAATGAAGCAAATAAGTCCAGTCCCAGATGATGCACTGAAAAGCTATGGGTTATACCCTCATGTGAAGGTACAAAACCTGCAACTAGAATAACTAAAATAACTAAAATAACTAAAAGCTTTTGATGTTTTTGAAGGGAATTGAGCCCACAGATTTTGTGCATGTCTTGGAGAAGGGAAGAGTCAAGGACATACCAGAAATTTTGTTCTGTGTGTCACAGGGTCATAATAGAATCTAGTCAAGTTGTTTTTATAAATGGAAGACAGCATAATGGACTGGGTGGAAGTGAATTCTTGTCCTTTCTTATAAAAATGCTCATGCTACTCAGACATAATCATTCCATTCTGATAAAAGCTGTTGAAAATTAAATCAGTTACAATAAACTTGATTATGAAGGGATGACCCATCACTTTTACTTTCTACTGGAAAACTGAGACTGAGCGTATGAAACAAGAAATGACAATTTATAAGAATGTCTTCTTGTATTCACACACCAAAAATCCTTGTTTACTCCCATCTTATGGTCTCAATTAAGGTTCTAAAGATACAGATACTTATGAATTATTGAGACAGTAAATATAAAGTTTCTCAAGCCCTTTTGTCTAAGTAGTAGAAGAAGAAACTCCTGCATAGACATATCCAAGGGAATTTCTCAAAATAATGAGCCTATCCTTTAATGTGGTCCACAAAGTGCCAGACCCACGTAAAGGCATCAGGTTGAAAGATGCCAGGAAGGGAATTCATGCAGGGGTGATTGTGGCAGAGATGACTGGAGCCAAGACAAACATGGGAATGAAAACACTGCTGCTACCTCCCTGCATGAGGACTTTTGCTGCCCACATCTGCTCCTCATTCCCACTGCCTGTTGCCATTGCAGCGCAAGAATACTGTCTGCTCTTCTTCACCACATCACTGTAAAGACAAAGAGGGAATGTGTTCCCTTGTTTCTTGTCCTCTGTGTCCCTTCCATAAACATGTCAAGTAATTCCCTTGGCCTCCTAATTAGCTCTCAGTGGGACACAGCCTTGCAAAAAGCAGCATGTGGGACCAACTTGTACCTCAGCGCAGGCTCTAGCATCCGGCTGCCTGGGACAAGATTTGATTCCTTCTGACCAGCGCCAGACGGTCTTGGACAAGTCATTGGTGTCTCTGTTCCTCAGCCTCAGTGACTCTAACAAGAGAGCTACCTCTTAGACGTCATGAGAATTAAGCACCATAATCCATGTAAATGCTTAACATACCATGGGACATGTACGAAATCCTTCTGTTTCGTAAGAGTCATCCAGCTAAGATTCTCTCCCACAAGGAACCTCTCGCTACCCCTTGTCATTGTGGGAAAGAGGGCTGGATGACCCTCCTGGGGAGAAAGAAAATGCTTCAGGATATCAGTGGAAATCAAAATTAATTTCCTTTTAAGAATTTCTCTAAATTGGCAACACTTTGTGCAGTGATTAAAGACACACAGAGAATTACAGAATCAGGGAGGAAGGCCGTGTTGCAGGGACACTAGCAATCACCGGCTATTTGAGGACGTGGTGCCTCTGAGAGCAGCTTAATGTCAGGCTGGCATTTTGCAACAGTGCATTCCAGTGTGAGGAATATTCTGTCACCTGAGCTCAGAGCTCTCTGGATGACATCCGCTCCGACAAGACCTGGCTTCCTCTCTCCACCTCAGCAGCTCTTTGATTGCCCTGCTCCTCAAAGTGCTCCATCTGGTGTTCCCCATTTCCCATCATGTTTGGACCCCTATTTTCCAGCTTCTGATCACAAGAACTATTGAAAGGTCAAACCCACGCCCAGAGGGGAGTTTGGAGGCCCAGGGCGAGGCTCAACAGGAACATGCTCTGAAAGCTACTCCTCTGGCTCTGGGCTGAAGGCAGCTTGTGAGTGGTCTGCACTCTTTCTTCCTTAAGAATTGAGGAAAACTGCCCTTCCTTTTGCTCAATGGGAAGGTGAACACCTCCTACCTTTTGCTTTTTCTTCTTCTTTTTTGGTCCCGGAGATCGAACTCAGGTCGTTGCGCTTGAGCAGCAGGCGGTGAAATCATTGAGCTAAATCCCCGGCCCTCGCTTTTTCTTCTTATCTCAGCATCTGTAAAGAGAAAAAGTTAGGTTGGCACAAATAAAAAAGCAGCACTTAAAATAAATACGTATTCCAATGTACACTGAAGTGTTCTTGAAAAATAGCTTTGGTAGACTCCTGCGACCTAGCAGCGGTGACAGGTTGAATTGATGCTTTTCTTTTGCTTATGCAAGTGCCAGTCTTAGGAGGCCAAAAAGTTACGTTTATCGTTCCAGTAATCATCACCAGTGCTTTCTGTTTATAAACAAGTGAGCCATGTGTGTGGCAGCTGCCAGGCCGCCCCATTTCCTTACCTGGCCACCCACTGGTGCCAGGGCCACAGTGCCCAGCGCCCGGGACCCGGGTTGCCCTGAGGCTGTGAGGGCAAGTGGGGTGGCACCTCCTGGGCCTCACTGATGCCGGGGTCGGGCTGTGCAGGGCAGGGCTCCCGTAAGTCGCTGTCACCTTCCCTTTGCACCTCTGTGCTCCCCACCAGCCTCTCCCGGGAGCCCTGGGTAACATTTGCCACCCAGGCCTCTTCATAGCAGCACCATCTTCAAAGCGCCTTGGGAACGGGGTGTGGATGGAGAAGGACCCTGCCTCTTGGAGAGAGCAGATATGGAGGGGTCTCCTGCTGTCATTTTGGGGCCCACCCCAAGCCCGAATCTTGGGCCCTCAAGGAGACAGCGTTTGGGTCACGTTGCTGGGACTGAGGCGTCAGGGCCCTGAGCAGCGGACCAAGGCAGTGTGTGTAGAGTGCAGCCTCAGAAGACTCGCCTGAGTCGGTGCTCACTTTCTGTGCCGGGTATTGGGAGTGTGGGCTCCCTGTCTCCCCCAAGGCTGCGTGAGCTGCTTCTGGGGTTGTTGGGCAGCCAGTGCCCAGCAAGCTCCCCAGGTGTTTGCACCCGGCTGTGCACAGAGCAAAGGGCTCCAACATTTCACATCTCTGTTGTCCCAAGCTTGGCCACAGAGATCCCAGCAGATGCGCTTGGCTTCCGAGGTTGCCACTTGGTTGCCCGGGCTCGCCTCACCTGCCGCACCCTGGCTGGCAGCTGGAGGGCTGCATGGCCCTGAAGAGTTTCGCTTCACTTCCCTCTGTTTTGGCTTTGCCCTCAGGGTCTCATTTCTTCTTATTGCTTATAATTTGCTGTGTTATTTCATCAGTGCATAGTGGTTACATTCATGGTGAGGTTGGTACATTTAAAGCGTGAAATGCAGATCAGGCCCCACCTGGGGCTTTGTGGGGAAATCTGTAAACCGTGGATTGCTCTCAAAGTCACTTCTATGGAGCACACAGTCCCTGTCCCCTGGCGTTGCCAGCTCAAGGCCCGGCTCTGTCTGGATGATCCTTTCTTTGTGGCTGGTGCAGTGGGTGGTGGGGCACAGTGTGAGGGCCCAGCAGCATCTGGCCAGGATAGGGTGCATGTGTGCAGTCAGGGAGGGATTCCAGTACAGTCTGGTGCAGTCAGGAGCTGCAGCTGTGCGTGGACACCGGAAAGATGGTTCCTGCAGCTTTGCAGGTCCAGCTCTGGCATGGGGCTGTGTGCAGCTTGCAGCCTGGTACAGGATTTGGGGCCCCAGGAGTGAGATCACCCAGGGACAGACTCACCCTGCTCCCTGCCCAGCTCAGCGTGTGGAGAGGAGGAAAGCACTCGGGGACTGCACACACCAGGGCAGTGTGGGAGGGAGGTCAGGTATCAGCCTGTGGTCACCCACCCAGAACGACATCACTCACCTGGCACAAGGCAGTGACTCACTGGCCTCTCAGGGAGCAGCACCCCCTCTGGTGGAGCCCTTAGCCCTAGCCAGAGATGCTGAGCTGACCCAAGCATTAATGGTGGACACCCAGCCATCGGGATCCATTCGTTTTTCAGAGCCGCTCAGTGAAGCCAGGTGAGGTGGTGCAGCTCTGCTACCCAGCACTCTGGGAGGCCCAGGCTGGGTGACGGCGACTTAATGAGAAGACTCTGACAATCACAATCACACATTAAATGGGCTGCTGATGTGGCTCAGTGGGAAGGTCCTGAATTTAATCCCCAGTACTGAAAATAAGTTTTACTGATTTGTAAAGACCTCAGCCCATGGGCAGGGCTGGACCATACACCCCCAGGAACCTCCAGCCTCTGCTGGCCAGGATGCTCTGTGGTTTCATATTCTAAAAGTAAAATTTAATAGAGATGGAGAGAATGTTCGTCCATCTCCAAGTAGGCAGGATGGGGCTGTGGTGTACTGTCCCTCTGCCCTCTGAGCGGAGACAGACAGCAGCCAGAGCAGACTGTCCCCAGGTAAGCCCAAAGACCTGCAGAGCTGATGTCCAGGAGGTCACCTGGAGCTCAGACAAGATGGCGTGCTCTGCTCTGCAGACTCCGCAGAAGGAGCCCATTGCTGGCCCCGCTCCTGTGACTATGACCAGAGTCTCCGCTGCCAGGCTTCCACCCTAAAAAGCAGCATTGATGACACAGACAACGGGGACCCTGGAACCAGGAGGGCAGAGGCTGCTGAGCCAACCGTGTCACTGGGGCCCTAAATGTGTGGGGTTGAGCTTGACAGGCCAGGTCCCCATGCACATAATGAGATGGTAGGAGAGCTGAGGCCTGGTGCACCCCTCCCAGCAGAGAAGACACAGCCTGAACCCCAAGATGCAGACAGGGAGGGGGCGCCTAGGGGAGGCCACGGCCCAGTGGGTTTCCTGCAACGGTGCCCTTCACCTGCCCTTCGTTCAGACTGCACACGTTATCTTACGGTGATAAATACATCCTGTCTGGCAACACAACCTGGATTACCTACTGAAGAAGCCAATGAAAAATGGCCAGGATCTTTCTAGGCTTTCCCCTCTGCATAGTGCAAGATTCATCAGCCCCTCTCACGACTGTGTGGCCAAAGGCAAGTCTGACTGCACTGGTGTGAACCCTGCAGGCCAGGTGCCTGTGGCGACACAAGAGGAGCAGTGGCCAGGGCCGTGGGCAGGAGCCACCAAGCACAGTGCTCTGGGGATGGGCACACACAGGGAGAAGGCACTTCGGGCCACCATGCTGACCCTTTTAAACACTAAAATTTTAAGTTTTATTAAAAGCTAGTTCTATTATTTATATAAAACCAAGAAATAAGGGCAAGTGTAAATACCAAAACATGAGCCAGCGCAGCGCAGGCCAGGGCCCTGGGCTCACAGCCTCCCACACCTGCCCCTGCCCAGGAGGAGCCTCCCTCATGACCTCGTCCCCCACCCTCCTCAAAGTGAGGAAGAAGGGAGGGAGTCATACAGGGGACTCACAGTGGTGGCCGGGCCTAACTGGACCTGTCCTGGACTCGGTGGCCCCAAGCGTCTGGTGTCCAGGTCCAGGGAGATCTGCCCTGGGCTCCCGCTCATCTCAGGTCCCCAGGTCTCTGGGTCTGGTGAGACCCGCCCTGTGCTGCCCCTGAAGGCCAGGTACCTGGTGAGTGGCCTGAAGCACGGGGACTTAGCCATCCGTCCTCTCACTCGCGCCAAGTGCTTTCCCTGCGCGGGGTCCTATTGCTGCGGCCTCGAGGCCTGGGAAAGCAGCACAGCATGATCGCTGCTGACTCTTTCCAGCCAAGTGATGGTTAGGCAGCCATGGCTGGACTGTGGTGCCCAGTGACTCCAGGGTTCCGAGTTCTGTTTGGACCTGTCGCCAAGGAAGTGAGGTCACAGTGCTAGGGTCATAAGCCAAACCGTGCCCTCTGATGAGAAGACCCCATGGCCCCTTCCTTTCATAGTGGAACACATCTATCTGTGTGCTCCTTAGAAACAGCAATGAGAAACCAGAAAAGCTGCCTGTGATGTTAGAGTTTGATGAATCAGAAGTTTTAATTCGGCAAATGTGTAGATGCTTAAGATGTAGCAGGCACAGGGAGAAGTGTGCTTTCCCATCCAAAGGATCCATTCTCTCTCAAGACACAGCGCTCATGTCAGCACTTAGAGATCTGATGGATTTGAGGATGGTTTTCTTTCCTGGGTTGACTTCAATTGCCTTTCGATTCCAATAGGGGCTATGGAGATGATCCCAAAATGTCCAATATAATTTTCTTTAAAGGATACAAAAGTTTCAGCTGATAACCCCTGGGTGGCCAGGAGTGGAGGATTCACAGCAGGTCATAACTTTCAAGTGCACATGGATAGCTACTTGAGCACAGATACTGAGCTCAACACAAAGTGCAGTATGCAGTGCAGAGACAGTGTGAGGGGACAGCAGTCTTTGTGAAACCTCCCACCCAGCAGAACACTTTCATGCATCGTTTGGGAACGTCTCTTGTGGCACTGCTATCCCCTCCTGTCCTCTCATCCCAAGCTGACCACGTGCTTTTCGTCCCTGGTGGAGAGGGTGGAGCTGGAACCATTCACTATAAATGTTTCCAGCAGGTCTTCTTCAAGCAGTAACACCAGGCTGGGATCCCTGCGTGCTGCTCCTCCTCAGTGGTGGCACCGTCATGGGGGTGGAGCACAGCTGTCCCGCATCCTCTGCTGATGGCCATTCATTCGGTTCCCAGGGTTGACCACTGAGCAGTTCCCACCAGCATCACTCAGGCAGGTTTCTTTTCAACCATGGATTCTTCTTCCAGGAGACACACTTGCATGTCTGTTTATTTGCTTTATATCACTATTTTTTGCCTACTTTTTTATTTACAACATTTCATTCCCCTTTGATGTTTCTAATGAAACCTAATAATAAATTAGGGTTATTATCTTTTACTAATTTGTGTTTATTTATGAAAAATAACCTATAATTTTATGCTAAAAAAACTAAAAAATTAAAAAAAATCCCAGTAGTGGTCAGTGATTATAATAATTCTATGGGTGGTGTTGACAGAGTCAACTGACATCTAACAAGCTATCCTGTAATCAAAAAGCAAGGAAAAAATATAATTATAAAATATTTATGCACCTTCTGGACCAAACAGTATGAAACTCATTTGTTACTTACTCAAAACAAGGGGGTTCAAAAAGTCATTCACAATTTAGATTAGGTTTACTAGACCAAATAATTGAAAAACATAGGACAAAAAATGCCAACCAGGACATCCGTCTTCACCATTACCTTTAGTGGGGAGACATTTTACTGAAATTACACCACCCAAGATTATTTTTTTTACATCAAACTGCCCAAGAGCTTGTGATCCTCCTGTCTCAGCCTCCCAGAGGGTTATAGACAATAGCACCACACCCTGGTTTCTTCATAGCCTTGTTAAAAACTCATTGATAGAGCAAGGGAGGTGACACATGCCTGTAATCCTTGCAGTCCAGAGGCCAAGGCAGTAGGTTCACTGGGAGTTCCAGACTAGCCCAGAATACACACTGAGTCAAGTTCAAGTTTGTAAGAACTACAAAGGAAGACCCCCTCTCTCAAAAAAAAAAGCTAAACAAAACAAAACTCTTTGGTGACAGTACGCTTTGGTTTGTTTCTTGGCTGTTTTAATCTGTGTGTCCATTGTTGTTGCAGTGTAACTGTTTTGATTGCTGTCACATGATGATATGCTTTGAAATCAGGTATCGTGGTGCATCTACAGTGGACCCTTGGCTTACGAACTCAATTCGTTCCTTAGGGCTGGTTGTAACTCAAATTGGTCAATTGAAGGCTCAGGCTCCTCTACACAGCCTTCAAATTCTCACTCCTGTACATAGGCAGATCTCAGTGTCCTTAGAGAGACATTGGCCCAGGACTTCTCAATTAACCCACACAGGAAAGGATGATGTTGTAATGTTCCTTCCAGAACTCTTTAATGGTTAAATCTGTACCTGAGACCATCTGAAAGCACAACTGGCCAGCATCTGGTCATAACTCAAGACTTTGGTCTTAAGTTGAAACTAAAACTCCAGTTGTAACCCAAGTTGTTCGTATTATCAAGCCAGTCGCAACTCGAGGGTCCACTGTCCTATGATCTTCTTTCTGTAGATATGGGACGGCTCCTTGTAGTCTTTGTAGTTCCATATGAATTTGCAGATTGCTTTTTCTAGCTCTAGGAAAATGTCATTGATATTTTGATAGGAATGTCATTGACTCTGCTTGTTGATTTGGGCAGCATGGACATTATAACAATATTAATTCTTTCAATCAGTAGTCATAGTATGTCTTTCCTTCTATTTGTGCCTTTCATTCATTTCTTCAATGTTCCATAATTTTCAGGGAATGGGTGAAATTGGTTAAATGTTTCCTATCTATTCACCCTTTTTGATCCTATTGTATATCGAGTTTTGTTCTTTATCTTGGGGATGGGGGCAATTTAAGTGTACAGAAATGGAATTAATTTTTCCTTGCAGATTATCTATCCTGCAACTGCACTGCATTTGCCCATTAGATCTATTGGACTTTCTGTGGATTCCTAGGTTTCCTACATATAAGGATGAGTCCTCTGGCAGCAGGGACAACTTTTACTACTTGCTGATTTGGTTGTCTCTGATTTCTTCTCTCAAGTGACTTCAGTGGCTAGGACTCCAAGTACTGTGTGGAATAGAAGACGTCTTATGGGCAACCTTGTCTTATTCCTGGTAATGCTCACCCAACTGTGGTGCGTCCCTGTGAGGCAGCGGAGAACTGCACCTGGATGGACTGATTCAGTAGCTCTGCCACAGGCTGACCCTCAGTGCAGAGGTCCCCGAGTGAGAGGAGCCTCTGGCAGGGTCTCTTCTGTCCATTGTGCAGGATGGGCTCTTTACTGAGAATGGAGCAGGGGACTCGCCGGCCTTCCCTTGTCCTGGTTCCCTCCCAGGTACCATGGTGCCCTCTGCCTCTTCATTCCCTTCATTCCCTTCATTCCCACCTCAGGTCTCCACAGAGGGTCTGGCAGCCCCTGTGATCTCCTCAGGGCTCCACTCTATATGGAGCCCTCAGGTGTGAACTCTATGGCCAAGATCTTCAACCTGCATCCATTTGACCTGGAAATTCTTTTAGGGCTTCATTTTAATCAATGAGATCTACAGACACACATGTTCTCCCTTGGTTCTGTTATGGGTGTGAATAGTTAGAAACCACTGAAATACAACAGCAGAGGCCTCTGAGTCAATTACATAATTATAAGTACTGAGAATGCTCTAGAAATTGAGGCATGCTCAGGCCATATCCCAGTCTTAAGTGAGATGACAGAAGAGCTTGAGGCCTGGCCCTCTCCCCACACACAGGGAGTGTCTGCTTGCACCAGAAGTGAGGAGGGGAAGGAGGAACACCCGGGGGTGGGCTGTTCCTGGATGGGATGCCTGTGATTTTTCTTCTGTGTTCCTTAGTTTGTTTTACTAAATAATTCTTCTCTGAAATCAGTTCACGAAAGAATAAAAGGTGGCAGCCAGTGGCTATGGCCAGCAGACGGCGCAGTGGGCCTAGGCAGCAGCCTCCCCCACTGGCAGAGGTAGAGGACCAGGGCCTCCCGTGTTGCTGCCCTTGCCCCTGGAGCCACAGTGTGACCGGCAGGTGGCCAAGGCTTCCTGAAAGCCTTTCCCTCCCTCCTCACCTCCCAGCTGCTGCTGGGGAAGGCCGCGGGCTGCGGAACAGACAGGAGTATAGTACCACATCAGCCACATCACCTGCAAAACGTTACACATAGATGTAATGCAATCCCCACAGAAATATCATCGACTTTTTCACAGAACTAGGAAAAATAACTCTAAAACTTATATAGAACCAGAAAAGACCCAGAATAGCTGAAGAAATTGTGAGCAACACAAGGGGGAAGAAAAACATTACAATTCCAGATTTCAAGTTCTACTACACAGCTAAGTACCCAAAGAACATGTTATTGGCACAAAACCAGATTTATTCACCAATGGAATAGAATAGTGGTTGGAGAATACTCCCAGCATTTTCAGCCATCTGAGTTTCAACAAATGGTTCGGTAATACACGCTGGAGAAAAGACAGCCTCTTTAACAAGTGGTATTGGGAAAACTGGTTATTCACATGCATCAATCTGGACCCATATCTCTCACAATGCTCCAAAATCAAATCAAAATGGATCAAAGACCTGTATGTAAAAACAGAAACACTGAATCTACTGGGAGAAAACATTGGTAAAATTCTTGAAAACAAAGGCACACCCAAAGCCTTTCTGAATAGAATCCCAATTATAGAAGAATAATATAAATAATCAACAAATAAGATTAGAGCAAATTAAATATCATCTGCACACCAAAGAAAATAATCAGCAGAGCGAAGACACAACCTAAAGAATGTGAAAAAATTTACCCTCTACTACTCAGACACAGCCCTAATATCTAGACTATGTAAAGAACTCCCAAAAAATGAGATCCCCAAAATAAAAGCCACAATCAAAAAATGGGAAACGGAAATGAATAGATACTTCTCACAAGAAAAAATACAAATGGCAAATAAATACATGAAAAAAATGTTCAACATCAAAACTACTGTGAGATTCCACCTTACTCCACTAAGTAGGTAAGTATCGAGGACTCAACGAGGCAAGTTTTGGGAAAAAACTAGTACATTGTTAGTGGGAATGTAAATTAGTGTAACTACTATGGAGATCAGTATGGCAAAAAAAATGAAAACCAAAATGTCCATTTGACCCAAATATACCTCTTCTTAGACCGGGGATGTAGCTCATCGGTGTAGCACCTGCCTGGCAAGTGTGAGGCCGTGAATTCAATTCCTGGTACCAAAA